AGAAGCGAAAAAAAAAAAAGAAAAATAAATTTCTAAAAAACAGCGTAATAGATGTTTAAACATCTAATTAAATTCATAAAAATATATTGAAGTGTCAATAAATACCAAACATTCATAAAATAGAAAAACCATTAAAATTGTACATGACAATTATTGTATCACTGAAATATCACTAAATATCACTAAATATATACCAGAATATATAACTAAATATCACTAAAATATACTAAATATCAGAATATCACTGAAAACTCCTGAAAAATGACACAGTATATATACCAAAATATATAACTAAATATCACTGAAATATACTATCACCTATTCAGCCATAGGATATTGTAATACAAGTATAAAACATAGATGAGGATATTGTAATACAATGTTAAGTTGCACGATTTTTTGAAATTATATTTCTCTGCACCATTATTCAGCCATATGAGTCAACATAATGCAGTTTCATAAAGACAACAAGATTCAGATAGATCGACATTTAAAAAGGAAAAAAATCAATTTCCACAAGTCAGAAGTGGGCTAAAACTAATCACATAAGCAATTCTGTTCAAGCAACAGTACTAAGATTCGGAAATATTATGTCACTTCCAAAGTGACCGCTCAGATTAAAAGTGTTATCATGCGCAGAATCAAAATATTGTTAAATTAACAAAGCCCAATCAATAGAAACCTCAACACATGGGGGATCCATAGCCAACTTCACAGAATACCAGTAATTTTTTTTTTTTTTTTCGTATGTGATCATGAGCTCGTAAGAAATCACGGAAAATCCAATGGAGCGTTTTTTTGGTATTTTTCTATTACTTTTTCCTGTTATCATCGCGGAAATCACGTCCATAAGATATGGAATGGAGAATGTTACACTGGATAACTGACTTTTAGGCATTCACGTAAATTTTTTTGGTCTATTAGGTATCTACCAAATTATTTGTTTGTTAATGGTAAATTTGAAATTATTTTAATTTCATGTGGGATGAATAAAAATTTTCAGAGGAAAATGACAAAACTATTGGGCCTAACACCATTTTCTGGCCCAATGGAATTTAGTAGCCTGCTCTACTAGATGTAGCCTTGAGGAATGATGAAGGTTTCGTTATTTCTCGGAGTGGCTTATCAGTGGATCGAATCAAATTGTACGCAAACCCACCCGTTATAGTGCCCAAAAGAGGCCCAACTATGTAGATCCAAAGGCTCTTGAATTCATGCATTATCAGTGCTGGCCCAATACTCCTTGCTGGATTCATAGAAGCTCCTGACACTGGCCTGCAATTTGGTTCCAAATTCTAAGTAATGAAAAAAAAATAAAAAAAAAAAAATAATAATAATAATAATAATAATTGAAAACTAGAGTTGATGTTTCACCCAGCAACAAAAACGTCAACCACTATAGTCATTCCTACAGCAATTCCAGCAAGTTCTCCAATCTGCAAACAAATTTCATATATTTTAATTATGCAATAATTAAAAAACTTCTTTATCCTAATTACAAATTATCCCAATTTTTAACAAAAGTCTTATACTATGAAATATCATACTTTTTTTTAATTAAATTGTTTTAAAAAGTGTGACACCGAGTATGAAATATGCATATTTATTCAAATAGTCCTACCATTTTTCTTTTTTTTTTTTTGAAGTATTTTTTGGGTTTTCCGAAATAAAAAAACTTTGCTTACAGATCTGTTGTCAGTGGCAACACCGGAGATGACAAACATCAAAAGGAATGATGCAATGAACTCCATAGCTAAGGATTGTGCATTGGAGCCCACAGGCAGTGTCCCAAAATAAGCTTCTTTTGGAACATCTAACAAAACGTACAAAGTCCCACTTGCAAGGATTGACCCAATCAACTGCGCCAATATGTATAGTGGCACCTGCTTGTAAGGGAAGTGCCTAAAAATGGCAAAAGTAATCGTGACCGCTGGATTAAAATGGGCGCCCGAGATGTGGCCCACAGAATAGACCATGATCATCACCGTCAATCCCCAAGAAATGCATATTCCCGGAAATGTCACGGAACCGTAGATTTTTTCCACAGCAACCGAACCGCACCCCATAAATATCAGAAAATACGTCCCGATCACTTCCGCAATCACCTAAATATTATTATAAAAACTAAATGTGAGTAATTAATTAGGTTAAGATATATGAAATAAAATATTCTGAAATGGGTCCTACCTTTTGAGTGACAGCTACAACAGTGGTTGAGGTGCAGAAGGATGAACCATCATCATTATCTCGCTGAGTAATCCCATCTTCATTTCCTGATATATCCCTCGATGACATCTCCTTTGTCATTTGATTTGCATGTATTGATTTTATTTTTTTTTCTTTTCTTTCTTTTTGTGTGCGTATGTGTATGGAAGTGAGAACAAAAGAAAATACAGAGAGTTTGGAGTTAGAGATATAGGTAATTTGCCTCGAATAAGTTGGAGGTGGATGGTTATCCTGATTTGGAGAATGACTAATTAAGGACAAGAGATTTTGCCAACTTCTTTCAATGGTGTATAACTAATCATGTTGCAAATTCCCATATATTTAATACAAATTTTTAATAATAAATAATTAATAAAATATAACATCCATAGTTTGAATATTTATTTAACATTTTAATAGTAAAAAATATATATTTACAAAAATAAGAGTAATACAAATGTTTATTATATTATCTTATATTACATAATATATTAAGAATTGTCACTGACTGCACATTTCAAAATTCACGAATTTAATAAAATGCCACCACACTACATAATGCACAATAATTTTAGAGAAAATGCACAAAATAATGTCGGTCAAAATGCGCAATAACATATAAGTGTATTTTGAGCAATGACTAAAATGTCCCCGCGCAAAAAATTAAAAGTACTGATAATTACAGGAATGACATCGTCCCTTTGACCAATACTGGAGTGTTTAAACGGACCAGGATCGTTGATATATCACATCCAACGGTTACGATTCATTCTTATTTCTTTCACTATCACCCATTCTCATTTGATTCTAACTCATATATATTGTTGAGTCTACTTCCAGATCTGGAGTAAACCGGTTGTTGTGAGCTCAGATCTGCTTGAACCGCTTCCCAACCGTTGCTAGACCGCGAGATTCCTGCAAAAACTCAACGCCGGAGGTGTTTTCGGCGTAGAGCCTCCGACGCTCAAGTCAGTATCAGAAAGATGAGGAGAGGCTGCGCAGCAGCTATGGGGGAGTAGTCAATGAATGAGAGTTAGGGTTTGGGTTTACCTCACCTCCTTTATATAGGAGTGAATACTTACTTGAAGTGCCCAAAATGCCCAAGTCGGCGGACCTAGAAGGTCCAAAATACCCTGATCGATTCGTCTCCCCTTATTGCTGAGTCATCACAAGATTCCTTCTTACCCTTTATGGTATATAGAGCTTCAGATGAGCTACAAGTGTAGTGAATCGTCTTCACTGTTCTGGTCCTTGAGATGTATAGAGTCGACCCCGAGAGCTAGGAAGTCGACTTGTGGATTCGTGCGGATTCGGAGGCTGCGCTTGGTTTAACTCTCTGCGGTGCAATCGACTAGTGGAAGTCGACTTAGAGTGTCTGAATGCTTGGGAGTTAAGCTCTTGATGTTCCTCTTCCATTGATGTCGACTAGTAGAAGTCGATAGACTAAGGTCGACTTGATAAAGTCGACTAGACCAATTTCTGCCTTTTCTTGATTGCTCTCGATAGAATCGACTTTCAGGAAGTCGGTTTGAGCCTGTCGACGGAGGCAAGTCGACATGTGAATGGTTCAAGCGGTTCGCCGGTCGAGTAAACATCCTCTGGACCGGGTTACCCTTATGTGGCTATATCACATATATATATATATGGAGAGAGAGAGAGAGAGAGAGAGAGAGAGAGAGAGAATGGTAGATAGTGAAATAAATAAGAATAAATCTGTATCATTGGATCCAACACAACAATGGACATGATTAAGTCAAAATCTGGTCAATCATTAATGGCAACATGGTAATTTAACGTGCACATTGTAAAATTTACATTTTTGTCCACATAGGAAGGGTAAAACGGACATCACACATAATATTACAACTCATAAACCAGTGGGCCCCACCACCTCCACCATAATTAATCTCGTTTTCTATTTATCTCTCACGCACACACACAAATTAAAACTGCCGTCTCCTGAGTTCCCCCACCAGAAATGAAGCTCGCCATCACCTACTGCCACCAGCCTCCATCTCCGACGTCCATCGCAGCTCCTCCGGTCGCCACCAGAGACAGCCGTCATCCGCCACAAACACGATGGTCCATTCCATCGCAGATAGTCGCCGGCCAGCCTCCGTCCAGCCTTCACACCGGCCAGTCGTGTTTCTCCTCCGACAAACACTGCCGGAAAAAAGCTTCGCCACTGCAACCAGCCTCCTGCCGTCGTCCTCTATGGCCATTTACAACCAGCCTCCCGCCGCACAATGCACCACACCGTCAGCCGAGAATCAACCAGAAAAAAAAATCACAAAAAATCTCCTTTCCGGTGTCTCTGCCCGGACAAGTCGGCCGTGAAATGGGGTGGTCAACGGCGGGCGGGGCCCGACATTCTCGGTCAAAGCTCCTTTCCGGTGACTGATTCTTGTTTCCAAGTTGTGGGCACGGCGGCGGCGGCCGGGAGTTGGGACTGAAGGCGGCGGGTGTCCGGCTGCTGGCTGCAACCGACTGTGTGTGTGTGTGTGTGTGTGTGACTTCAGAATGTTTCTTATTTTTTTTATTTTTTTTATTTTTATTTTTATTTTGTGGGTGTTGGGGCTTTTTGGTGGAAATTAGACAATATGTAGAGGCTTTTTTGTAATTCCAGAACTTTTATTAGATTATATTTTAATAGTGGAAAGGTTTTGTAATTTGTCAAAAGTTCAATATATTGCACATTAACAATACACGATATGCACGATATTGTGAATTTACGAGTACATTATAAAAATTGTTAAATTTCTACAAAATTACATGGTTATTAAAAAGTCGAATTATTGGTCGGTTTGGTTTAATCTAACGAGACAATGCCAAAATCGGAATAATAGAAAAAATATTATCTGTATTATAAAAACATATTGGTTGTTGTAATATTTTTTATTTAATATTTTTATTAAGAAATGTAATATTCTATATAAACAAAATATAATGTGCAATCTAGAAGTTATTAATGTGCGAATATTCTAACACAACGGTGCAAGGTGCTGTCGATATTAGTTTGGTCGGCTTTTGTCAATATCGTGCAAAACGACAGTTTTTGTTGTGCAACCCGTCTAATGGTAAAGTGCACCCACATTGCAGATATTTTTTAATGTTGTATCCAAAAACAACCTAAAAGCAAAATAATCGATTTATTTTGACACGTTAACTGAATGAACATAAATAATCAAAATAATTATTATTTCTATTATAACAAAATATAATGTTTATATTCTATATTTTATAGTATTTTTTGATTGAAAATAAGTAATATATTAAATACTAAATTCGATAATGTGCGATCTGTTGGTCACTAATGTGCAATTTGTCTAACACTAAAGTGCATTCGAATTGCAACTATTTTTTACAAAAGTAAATTTAGTGTTTTAATATTTTATTTGATATTTATATTATTTTTTTATTGAAAATATAATATAGATATGTAAAATATTATTTAAATAATATAATGTGTAATTTAAATATTTAGTATATAAATATTATTAATAATATAATGTGTAATTTAAATATTAGTATATAAAATATTGTTTTTCATTTTTATTTAGTATTTAGTATATAAATATTTTTATTTAATACTTTTATATTATTTTTTAGTATACAATACATAATATATATGTATAAAAGAAAATATATAAAATAATATTTTTTATATATTTTTATAAATTATAGATTTGGCCCAATGGACCTAATTGAAATATTCTCAAAATAACTGAAACTGCTGTCAAGCCCTTGACTTTTATCCAATTTTCAAAGCCAAGCTCACCTTTAATGACTGTCGAGCTCCTCATGGTTGCTACACATTGATCGTCGAATCGAAGTAAGGACGACGAGGACGACGGCGGCCGGTGTGCGACGGCGCTTCGCGGTGGAGGAGGTCGGAGGCAGCGAGATTAATGGCAGCAAAACTGAGCTCCACCTCTTCCGGTAGTGAGATTAATGGCGTGAAGACGTTGTCGGCGTGACGGACAGCGGCAGCAATGTCTGGAGAGAGCGGGCGGAAGAGCGGTGGCGGCAGCTGCGGAGGAGCAGTGGCGGACTGACGGGCGGCAGCCTGTGACGGCGACTGACGGGCGGTGGGGGTACGGGTGGTGACGGCGACTGACGGGCGTGGCGGCAGCTGACGTGCGGCGGCGGGCTGGCAGTGTTTGACCATGAATGTGTGTGTGTG